CCTCTGACCGCCGGTTGGTTTCGCAGCATTGTTGTGCCCTTACTCAGCTCTAGCAAGCACGGATCAAACCCTGAAGGTCATTCTTAACATGATGCAAGCCAGCTCCAGAGCCTGCTTAGCCCAAGCTGCAGTTTCGACCGGCCCCTATTAGTATAGCATTTCTATCGGAGAGTTTACAAAGAAGCATGTAAAAACGGGCAAAACCAGGGGAACCGGTTGGAAACTGGAAGAATCGATAAGGAATATGAAGAGCCGATTGCTACACGACACACTCATAAACTATGTTCTATACAATCTCCATAAACGTTCTGTAATACCGCCGCGTGTATTCTGATAGTTCTTTGAGGTTTTCCTAGTTTTTTTTGTGGCCCTTGTTCTTACAAAACTGGATTCTCGTAAAATTTACCACGTGGTATGATCGTTCAGTCACCTGGTCGAATACGCGAAATATTTCCGTCAGTTTGATTACAGTTTTCTTGCAGGAATATTCACAGAACGCAAAAAAGGTAATCGGCTAGGTTCACAACGAAATGTGCAAGAATTACGATTAAATACATCAGAGTCGCAACAAAAGATAAACTCGCCAGTTGACAAGGCGCCACAAAAGGCTACATAACCATGGTCGTTTTCGCTGCAGACGCTGGGACGTGTCACAAGGCTGGAGCAGGCTTATGCGCAGCTAGCCGGTTTTTCACCAATTATTGTCACTTGCCAGCTTCAGCAATAGGTAGGAAAATAGGGTGGTGCCTCGCTAAACCCAGCCTTCTGGCACTCCCAGAGTCTGCAGTGCGAACGACTGTTTCAGCAGGTCACGTCCTACATTGGGGAATCCCCAGTGGGGGGGGGGTCGTATTTGATCGCTGTCGAGAAGGGGGGGGGTCGTATATGGTCTGAGAAAATTTTTTGGCAGCTGATTTTTCTCGTTTCACGGACGCTATAAGAGCGGGGGACGTATTTGTTCGTTGCTGGGAGAGAGGTGGGTCACATTCGCCTCTAGGAGAATTTTGCAGCGTTGGGGAATTATTTTCCGGTTGTTGTTTCGCGGTTTTTCCGTTTCACATGTGCTATATACCCCCATACACCACCATCCTCTCACCCTCCTCCCCCCACCCTCAACCCTCCGCTCGACAGCAAAATATGGGAGAAAAACTTGAAAATCCTCGGGAAATTCCGGGAAGAAGTGGCAGTATTAGTTGGGAAAATCTAGGAAAGTGGTAGGGAGGCTGGGGAAGGGGGAGGTTGTATGAGAGGAGGCAATTAGGAACGAGGGTCGTACTTTCGGGAAATTTCCCCCAACGGCAGCGGTAGGACGTGCCCTGTGCATCAAGCATCACCTAGAATCATGGATACTATCAAAAGCTGAGAAGCTTAGGTAGAGGTGGCCATTAAGCTGGATGGGGTACTTTCTGGCGCCCATTTGGAAGATGTTCTGCAACCCTTCCCTCCCCTTTGAATTAGCCTCCGACAAAATCCTTCTTTCCCATCCCACCTACCATGTTCAGTCTTGCCGTCGAGCGGGGGATAGACATCTTCGATCAGCGCCGCCGTTTGTGGGGGTATAGCGAGCGTGAAACGGTGAATGAACAGGAAACATCAATGTATCTTCAGCGGTCAAAAACAAGCCACTGTTTTGTTGTACACAACGGATGGTGAGCCCTGTTCTGATAGCCATGCAGCGCTATGAGGGCTAAACGCTCGTCTTTATCCGGAGCACGCAGCATATCTATCACCAGTCACTTTCGTTCGGTCATCGATCACAGTTCTGCATGCAGGACAGATGCTGTCATAGAAAATTTTCGTTGCAATCATTCTGCAGTGAAGTGAACGATTGACAGATGATTCCTCTGATATGCAGAAAAAGTTACAGCATCTATGCAGCTACCGTAATCCATGTGTGATAAACCAACATAAAAACACATCATTATTCTTTATTACTTTGAAACCGACCCCTGTTCCATGAATATTGCACAGTTCTAAGCAGAATAAACATATGAAGGCGTGAATTTAAGGTAAGCAACCAGAGAAGCAACCCCTCACTACATTCCATACCTGAGGGCGGAAGGGGCGTTTCTTGGCAGAGCGACGGCCGCGAGGGTGCAGACAAAAGAGACGCAGAAACGCACAGAGTCTGAAGAAGGAGCGTGGGCGCAGCTATCGGAGGAACGCCACTTTCTGCCCTTCGCTATGGAATACTTGTTGAAAGTTACGAAACCTGACCGCATATGGCATTGTTAGTTATAAGTAAAGAGGTAACAGAATTGAATTAGTTTTGTAATTTACTATTCAGTGCATGTAGTCGTACTGCAAGGAAAAGTATAACAGCCGAAATAAATATGATGATAATGTTGAAGAGGCAGATGGTAGATAGGCCGATGGTACTCATACAAAGAACAGCCTGAAACAGAAACTTCTTTGTAAAATATCAATTTTTCGTGGTCGCCCTTATCACGCGTGTACTTTATTGATTGTTTCTATTCCTGTCACCAGTAGTAGTTAGCTATCTAATCAGTACAAAGTTTCGTACAAAGAACAAACAATGGAGTCCTGTACAGGCTCCCAACTCTGAAGAAAGCAATTGGCGATAAAAAGTACTGCCGAGGTCTCACTAAAGTTGAAAATAGGACATTGGTTTTATCAGTGACGTTTCACTGGATTTGATCTTCTGAACTTTCGTTTGACTACTACTACAATCAGATAAGATTTCTCATGTCATGAAACATAAGGTACCAAAATGCTGCTTTTTCTTGTCAAAGAGTTCGTTCATCAAGAGGGACATATTAAAGGCGCACGACAATTTGGTACTCGGTCCAAAATGGAGGCAGGGTGCTATACAGTATGAAAATGACGAGAAAGCTAGGTTAAACGGCTGAAAACCTGCCAATGAACCTTTGTTCTGCATGGTACTGGACGAGCACATTTGGACGAGTTTCTCGTTGGCATCGTGTGCCAACAACCGCTCTCCCTGATAGATACGGCTGCAGTTATGTAATCATGACCAACTCTCAACCCCCTTCATATCAACTGTACTTCATAAATGAGGCGACAAGAGCACCAGCAACGATGAAACTGTGCTGCCATTTGGGAGCGGGCAGTTGCGGTGGGCGTCTGGGACGGCACGTTGCATCCTGCCTCAGGCACCTATGTCGGTGCCATTGGCCGAGAAGGCGCCACGCAGCGCCTGCTCAGGAGCACCGAATTATGTCCTACTAGGCATATTTATCCTACACGTCTTGTATGTTTGCCCATTTTGTCCCCCTCTTGTCTTTCACCACGAATCGAGGCGTTTTATTTCCAACAGTCTTCACATGGGGCGAGCATTGTGAAAAAGAGTTAGCACCGCTTCAAAGCCCTCATCACAATGACACGCCCTCTCATTCCGCTGTTGAGCGCTATACACACACCTACACCTAGCAAAAAACTCACACTCTCTGAATTCTTCCATCAGGAAGTGGTACTTCTCGAAAAAAAAAGAAAAAAAATGGACATGGACCAAAAACGATGTTACGCGGGTTTGTTTAACCTATAAATTGGATGAACTGGAAGCTTCCAGTCTAGTTGAGTGATATTCCCTGACTACTCCCATGCCGAAGGGCTTTGAAGTGAGCCATCTTGTTGAAAATGGTAAATAGATGAAAGGCGCTCACTGAAGAGGTTTCTTTGCGTGGCCGAGTTGGTGGTACCGCTAAGAAAGCGATCCAGGAAGCAACCACACCTATTCGTTAATGATTTCTACACCCTGAGGAACGGGAATGGTGTGATCAGCGGGTCCATTGTAGGCAAAGAAGTTCGCATCGTTGTACTTTGATCCTTAAGCACGTGGGTGACCGAAGAGTTTGGTTCTGGAACCAGGTGACGTGACACCATGAACTTTTGTGTACAGTCCTTTTGATCAACCATGTGACCATGTAACGTGGGCAGATAAAGGACAGCGGCTGCCAAAGATCGGCAAATGGGCAAAATATATGTGGCGAGTCAGAGCAGTGATTTTTCAGGGGAAGGGATTCCGGGATGGGTAAGCCAGGTTGGAGTGTGTGAGGTCACAATCACCATAGAATGCCATGCGGACCAGAGAGGCGGGGAAAAAAAGAAGTTTTTGATTATGGGTTGAATTCCACATCAACGTCCATCTATTCTCCGCGATCACAAACACGAATGGCCTGTACCAACGTTGTTCGTCGCGGATGCTGGGGCATGTCAGAAAGGAGGGGAGGGGAGGGGTAAGGTGAGTTTGACGCAGCGCCAACTCGTTCTCCATCAGTTGCTTTGCTTGAAGAGGTAGAAAGGACAATGATTGGTGGAATACAGAGCTGGTGCCGGCAAACACAGCGCCTCGCCCTTCCAATACACCGCCAGCATTCGCAGAGAGCGAAGTCGATAAGCTGGTTTCTTCAGCCTTGTCGTAACTTTTCCTCATTGAATGTGCGTGCTAATCTGACAGCTGCCTGACGTCGAAGTTCATCTCAATCCAACTCAATTTTACGATTTCATCATGTGGGATTATAAAGTCGCCGCTTTCATCGGCTGTAATATTCGGTATTGATTACTGAGGTATGTTGTTAAAAATCAAAAATTACTTGGTTTCTCTAGCAGAGTAAGGAATGTGTTGCGAACATCGCAACATATATCGTTACGTAACAACAAGTCTCGTGATACTTTTTAGTTCCTCGCTTGTTGTAATGGCAGGTAGTGTTTGATGTGATCGACGGCGACGTGGCGGATCGGGACATGTCGGCACCTGGAGTTTAAAGATTATTTTGGACATAGTGTTATTGTTCGTAATTTAATATTTTGACCACTTAAACTTTGACCTGTACAGTAACAAGTGGAGATACCCTATAACAACTCTCTTTTGTCAACAGTCCATAATTTCGTCTTCTGTAAGGGTTGGTACAATAGGTTTTCTGCAACCAGGCATTAAGTCTCGGATGGGCCTCACCAACCATGGCAAACACCCTTAAGGACCCTTCCATGCGGCAAGCTTGGTAGTAGGCTTGTCTGGGAGGATGATAACACTGACCTGTACATCGGCTAGCCCCCGCAAGCCATCACAGAGCTCACTTGGATGGTAGCCAGTTTTTTTTTTGTGGCAGCATGCCAACCAACGTGGCAAACCGACTAGCGGCTGGCAGGTGTTGATTGCGCTGCAGGGCAGCAAGGGTGTGCTGGAAGCATAAATGAAGCATAGACCTGAGAGCTCATTTTTAAACCATTTTGGGCATAGTCTAGAAACGATAAGAGTGCAGATATAAGCTGTGGTTGTTGTTTAAAGAGGAATCACGGATTAAGAAGCGAGCTCTCCTACTAGTGAGCATGTTGGCCTTTTTGGTCTCCTCAACAGGGCCCTTCATGGTGAAAGGCTTCACATGTTCCACTCGTTATCACTGAAGTCAAACGGGGCGTATCAACGTGGGCTTTGGCGTGGGGCCAGCCCTTTTCCATCAATGGTTGCTGCTTCGACATTCAATGAGTGGTGGCCACGCAACACCGACACGCCCCGACTGGCCTCAAGGATAACGATTGCACCTCTACAGCCGGGTGGCGCCCCTCTCTGCAGGCTATTTGCTCCAAGAACTCGTAAACTTTATTGTACCTGTACCTTTGTAACAGCAAAACACACCTCACAGTACTCCAGTCCGGGTTCCTTGATTCGTAGTGTAATCTGGCAATCGAAATACATATTGTCCCGATCTGCATATTTGTAGACATGAGCCTCTCGTCCAGCCATGAGATCCTCCGGATACTCCAAATTCGTCAACAGGTACTTGTCCAGGGCACAACTAAACTAGAAAGGCTCAAAAGCGATCACACACTTGAAGGCTATTTCAGCTATGTGGATGTTTGTCCTACTCGAGCCTTTAGTGAACAGCATATTCTGGGCACAAGAACGTAAGACTAGCTGATCACCTCACGTTACTTACATTGCATATCGCGGGGCTTGAGAAGGCGTGGCTACGCACTCATTTTGAACGCGGCTGCGACTACGTTGTCCGGAACAAGACAGGTTAAAAATTGTTCCAAATGAAAATGTTCCATGACAGACAGATACTTCTTCATGTTCAAGATGGAGCGCAGCCACGCCCTCTCCATTTTTGATGTGTCACACTTTCAGTTTTGTTTTTCAGTCACAAACTGAAAAAACAAAACTGAAATTTGTGTTTAGTCTGTGTTTGTGATAGGAAGCTACCCTTTTTCGTTGATGAGTTGGACTCGTTCTCCATTACCGTCGTCGACAAAGCACGAGTGCACAATCATGCAGAACGTATCCGACTGTTCAGCGTCGCAGGTCCATTTATGATAGACCTGAAGTGATCAGTTGATATTGGCAAGGAAGGACGACATCCAGAAAACCAGACTGTGGTCTCTCTCTAAGAGACGCGGAATTGACGTGTATTGTAGAGACTATGTGGCCGTCAAGACGCAGAATCGGTTGTATTTACAGACTCTACTGGCCTGTCAAAGACGCATAACTGTGGTGTATTGTAGAGAACATTGGCTCTCAGAGCCCGGCGGCGGAATCGACGAGTGCATTGTCAAGACGAGGTGAGTGAGAGACGCGCAATCCGATGTTATTTGTACCCTTTCCACTTCCATATCTCCTACATTCCCCTGCCGACTGCATAACGCAACAAAAGACGCGCGTGAAACTCTGGAAGAAACCGCGTAACGCGGTGACGCGGGAAAACGCTAGTCATATTATTCCTCTCCCCACTCTGCCGCCTGGCGCTAACGCGTGGAGGCCAACTTCTACGCTCCGGCACTAGTATAAAACGCAGCCTTAGCGTCTATCATAAGAAGCATGCTGACTCATAATCAAGAGACGTGACCCCAGGTAGAAGTGAACTTGCAACTCGAGCTTACCGGGACAGTGTGTTAACCATTGCACAACCTGGGCCTTTTTCCCACATCTAGCTTAATGGTTTACGGGCTGACTTCAGTTTCGTTCGCTGCGGACGCTGGGGCCTGTCAGGGAGGGTGGATGTGGCGCGGCGCCAAGGCGTTCCCCACCACTTATGAGAGCTGGTAGGCATCCTTCATTGGTGGAAAACTGGATAGATTAGCTCAAATCCAGCTCCTGCGCCGGAGCGAGCAGGACTGTACAATCTGTTGGATGAAAAGCGTTCTTAGTGGTGTAATGGTTAGCAGCTTGGTAAGCGTACGGCTGAAGGTTCGAGTCCAGCCATAGCCATGTCTTTTCTCATGACTGAGCATTGTGAAGAAAAATCCTGAATCACGAACTGCGGCGAAAAGCAGGGGTATCACAACCGAACAAACTCGAGCGGCTTCAAATGCGAAACAACTCTCGACCCAACGTTCTTAAAAGGTGCTACCTTTATTCAAATTCACCTGACCTCGGATAAATCCCGTACGAGCATAAAAAACATACCATTTGTCCGACTGTTGCGTAATAGACCGGCTTTCCAACAGGTGAACCATCCAGAACCTCATATTTACAGACCGGCATTGGCACCTGCTTGGTATGCAGCGTTGGTGGTGGCATTCTGGAAAACGGATGAGAAACTGAAGAAAATGAAGGTTTGATACGATCACGTACTTGACGAGAACTTCTTTCTCGAGACGTCGTTCCATTTCCATATAGAAACATTGTACTCGATAAATTCGATCGATTTTGGTGAGATAATCGAGATTGAAGGCGATTATGATTGACGTTGACAGGAACACACCTCGTGGTGAGGTCTGAAAAAGAACTTCTTCATATTGGAAGGAGAAAACATTTGAGAAAAAGTCAATTCCTATGGAGATACTGTACCAGAAAGGGGAAAAATGCGATTGCTCAGGCTAATTTATAGATCGCCAGCCATCGCCGCATGAGTGTGCTTCTCGTAAATCAGCCTCTCTTCTTACTACTGCAGTAAGAAGAAGAGCAGAGATGCCCAAAGACCCACTGTAAACAGCCTGCAGATATCTTCCGTCTGCAAAAAGAGCAGGTTCGTTTCTGCAAAGGAGTACCACTTACGCGAGTAAAAAACCACGAAACTGTGAATGGTTGTGGCAGCTAGGTATTCTTTATGTCTCCGCCCAGTTCTGCTAAAAGTCGTTGAAAGCAGGCCACAAAAACGTAACCCCCGCAGAGCCAGCCATATGCCTGGACATTAGACGGGCCACTTGTCTGAGCCCTCCAAATTTTGGCTTGGCGCCATATTTCACTTCGGCTGTCTACCAGCACGTTCACTGCGGACCTCGGACGCAACCTCCCAACTGTACGTCTGCGCACACCTAAGTAGCCGTAGCGCCGTATTTCTTTTCCTGTAGAACTATTCAGTTCACCTAGAATAAGCAAGGTAGCTCATACACTATTTCTTAAAGAAGCAGCGGTCCAAGTTTCATCATGCGGGCGGTGTGACTCCGCCCACACGACAAATGAAAACCTGCGCCCTTTGAATAGTGCATCTGCTGAAGTCGTGCAACTGCAGCAATTATTACCGACACCGAATTTAGTTCTAAATGTGGCACTGATCTTTTGAGCCGGACTATACGTACAGATAACCATGGGCCGTTTGTTTAGCATTGTCGTGGATGTTGGCCCGGCAACACTGTATTCCAAACTATCCCCAAAACGGCTCTTGTTAAATAAAACAGTTTTGAAGACATCAGCTGTGGAGTCACTTAACAAGACCTGATATGTGGAGCTTAGGAATTCTTCAGCGGATTTCGCAATGACGCCAGCGAGAAGTTTGTGCGAGGCTTAGCGTTGGGAACGAAAATGCTATTCCCTCTGTTGAAATGCCCGTGACAAGTAAAAAAAGAACGAACGGAGAGCGTGCGAAAGCTCAATAACGCCTAATTTGTGCCGTGGCGCAGGGACAACGATTGACGTGGATATCAGAGCGGAGCGATGCCGCGACAAAGTAGCGTGAGACATTCAGGATGCCAAGTAAGGCAGGCAGGTAAAAGAAATCTATCATCGCGGGCGGATGTCACTCCGAGCAACCTCTTGCACTCTTATCTTTAACCATAGTTAAGCGCTATCGCTGTGCTTTCCAAAATACCTCCACCCTCGACAGTTATAGAGCTAGTTACGTATGATTGTAAGCTATCACGCAGGCTTTTGACAATAATTGTATCAAGCGCAGGGGACGCGGTTTCAGGCCGTACGGTGAGCTTTTGAAAAATGTTTTTGTGCATTTTATTAGGCGGCACATACCGAGAGCACCAAGAAAAACTGAGGTTCATTTTCGTCTGCGCGTTGAGGAACAAAAAAACTGTAAACAAAAATTAGACGCTGACTGTTCGGAGCTCACCCCGAGGACCAAAATTAAGTGCTTCCACCAGTTTTTTGTTTTTTTTTTTTGGAGTACACGTTTGTCTGGGACAATACTTTGATCCCAACGAAATAAATTCACGATAAGTGAACAATACGATCGGAGCAAAAAACTGCTTTTTTATTCAAATTGTTGGTAATTAGCTCTTCGGCGCTATGCTGGGTGCAGGATGGATGGCGCCAAAAAATAAATTTTGGATGTGGTTGAATACGATTTACCCTGGGCAGCAAGACTTTGAGACGGCAAAAATTTTTTGGCTTTTCCAATAGGTTGTAGAGCTGAGTAAATATTTGGTCGGGGGCAATGGTGGAGCGGACAGTCTCAGCCACTTTCGTCACAGCGCATGACCTATCCGATGACTACGACCCGGAAACCCCAATAACGCACAGCCAAGAATGCGTCAACTAGCGCTGAACGCTCATATATGGTATTACTAACGATTCAGTGGGAAAGGAGAATGTTGCCCAAACTGCTTTTAGTTGACACCACACACTAGAGTCACAAGTTTATTCGCGATCAGATCCACTGTCTAGCTTATGAATATCAAACGTACAGCAACAATTATTGTTCAATGGTGCGTGAAAATGGAAATAGTTGAATAGCTTTGTATCGTGGGGTATGTCTACTCAGAATGTGCTCATAAATGGCAAATATCCAGAGTTTATTCATGCGCGAGACACAAATGGAAAGCGAAGCAGCGAAACCCTGAGAAATCCAAAAGCCCGCAATTGAGGTGAGTCGAACACTCAACCCCACTTTTACTGCTCCCGATTGCGAATCCCCCATCCCTATCCCCTAACCATCCGTTGCGCACCGAGTAGTGCATCGCCTTCTAATCGTGAGGAGGACCAAGGTTGCATGCTGACTTGAGCAATGCGCAAAACTTAGGGAAGTACACTTGCGCAGTTTTTTTTCGCTTCGATTTCAAACAGTCCGTAATGAGGACCTCCCACTCAGCAACTGCGTCTAAATTTGCAAGGGACCTACGCCGCACAGAGGCCCAAAACGAAGCAAAGCAGATTCCAAAGATTTCTTACTCGTTTTTTACCTTTCCTGGAAGCGCGCAAAATGAAGCACACTTTTCAGGTCCTTGCATGAGCCCCTACAATATGCAAAAAACCGTTTTCGAAAAGCGCACCACGCCCTGAACGACCTCCCTGTTAAGAGCGTTTCACAGAACGGCAGCGATCAAGTGGCTGAGAATTGCGATCTTATTCAACAGAAATTTTGTGTGGCCAGCGGGGCACGTCGTACGTTAGGGATCCCTGTTCTCAGGTTTTACCGTTCTACGTGCACTAGCTCCCACTCAGGGTACAGCATCGTGATGTGTGAAATAGTGGTGCCAGTACGACCTCCCCCTCTCGAAGGAAGGTCTTGGTACAACCCCCTCCCCACCTAAATGAGGGTTTCGGTACGACCCCTCCCTCCCCCAACACCTTCCAATTCCCCACAATTTCTAGTTTTTCACCCAAAAATTTCCCCTCAAGCGGGGGTGGGGTATACAGTGCACATGAAACAGCAAAAATCACGCGAAAAGTCAGCAATCAACAAAAATTTTCTCCCAACGCGGCAAATTCCTCTCGAAGCCTCATTTGCCCCTCCCCCCTCTCCCAACAACGACCGAATACGACCCCCCCCCCCCTCCCCCAGCCGAAAAGTAGACCCCTTTATGTGTTTCACACCACATGCTGTACCCTGTCCCCACCACCACTCCCGCTCAAACGACAGTTTTCGGAGGAGAAACTGGAGAATTTCCGGAAATAAAAGCTCAATCTAACAAGGTAAGGTTGCTTGGTAAGGTAACTAGGTAAGGTTGGTTGGTAAGGTTGTAAGGTTGCTGCAATGAAATGCTGGTGTCCTTTTCCGCCAGTTGTGAACCCCATCCGGCTGTCGACTAATACAGGGACTGAAAAAATATTCGTAGAAAAGTTGAATAGAAATGCATTACTGATTGAACTAAATGTCTCGAAATCATCAAATGAAACTACACAATCGTTTCCATATCTATGATAGTAAGAGTATCAGTAGTCTTCAGCTCAGTCAAGTTCAGTTCTGAAATTTTCTTCTCTTAAAGATTTCGATCAAGTGAAGAAACAGCTGATGCGACTTGACGAATGCGCATTTCTTGATTTCTCCATTGTTTAGCTAATGAGCGGTTTCGTCAACATATCGATGGCGATGGCGAATGTTTGTGTGGACCATCGGGGCGTTGTTCTGTCGTTGGACGCGTTCTTGAGACCAACTGGCCTCTTTGACCAGCTATAAAAGAAATCGCGAGCCGGAATCGTTCCGAGACCATGCAACTCCCCAGGCTTTCAAGAAATTGAATTGATCCGATGAGAGCGCCTACTCCGCTAATTCAAAGTCAGAGCAAAGTTTGGTGGCTCCGAACAAGGCTCCTATCTTCCAACGAAGCCTGCCTTTATTTACTCTCTGTCTCTCTCTTCATTCCAGCGTTCGCAACGCCTCGGAAACTTCATCTGTATTCCAAAAATTTCAGGATGCATTCAAGATTACTGGTAATCGGCTCGTTCTGTATCGTGTCTGC